GTTTGTTCTGAAGCTAATTTAGCTTCAGTACCTCGAAACACTTGGTGGTTAGACTCTGGTTCAACTACTAACATCAGTGTTTCAATGCAGGGTTGCCTAAGCTACCGAAAACCAACTGATGCTAAAAGACGCATTTACTTTGGAAATGGGGAATCGGTGGATGTGAAAGTTGTGGGCATATTTAAATTATTGTTAAGTGCTGGACATTTTGTTGAATTGAAAGACACATTTGTCATACCGTCTTTTATACGAAATTTGGTTTCTGTTTCTTATTTGGACAAATTTGGTTATTATTGTTCATTTGGAAACAATAAGGTTGTGTTGCCTTTTAATTCTGATGTTGGTTTCGGTACTTTTATGGAAAATGATAATTTATATATGCTCATCACTATAACTTCCTATAATGAAACCCTGAATGTGGAATCAAGAGGTACTAAGCTAAAATTAGATGAATCTAGTGTGCTTTGGCATAAACATTTGGGATATATTTCGAGAAATAGAGTTGAAAGACTCATTAAGGATGGAATTCTTGATTCTATTAATTTCTCAGATTTTGGTGCTTGTGTTAATTGCATTAAAGGTAAACAAACCAAAGTAAAGAGGATAGGTTCTTATCGAGCTATGTAAGTCTTAGAGTTGATACATACGGATATTTGTGGGCCTTTTCCTACACCTTCGTGGAATGGTCAACAATACTTTGTATCATTCATAGACGATTATTCTCGATATGGTTATCTATACCTCATAAGGGACAAAACTGAGGCCTTGGACATGTTCAAAGCATTTAAGGCTGAAGTTGAAAATCAACTCAACAAACGCATTAAGATCGTCAGATCTGACTGTGGAGGTGAATATTACAGCAGAAATGATGGATCTGGTGAACAACGTCCGGGCCCATTTGCTGACTTCCTTAAGGAGTGTGGAATTGTCCCTCAGTACACTATGTCAGGTTCACCTAGCATGAATGGTGTTGCTGAAAGACGTAATCGCACATTAAAGGATATGGTTCGAAGTATGATTTGCCAATCTAATTTACCACGATCCTTATGGGGGAAAGCACTAAAGACTGCAGTCTACATCTTTAATCGAGTACCAACTAAGGCGACGACTAAAACACCCTATGAATTATGGACTGGGCGCAAGCGTAGCTTACGACATTTTAGGGTGTAGGGTTGTCCAGCTGAGGCGAGGCCTTATAGGCCAAATGAACCAAAGCTAGCACCACGTACGGTGAGCAGTCATTTCATTGGTTACTCGGAACAGTCAAAGGGGTATAAATTTTATGATCCCACATCAAAAAACATTTTTGAGATGGGCACTGCCACGTTCTTTGATGATGTTGAGTTTGAGGGGAGAAATACAGTTTTCGACTTTACTTTTGAGGATCAAGAAATCACCAAAGTGGTTGACCCGATCCCTCAAGAGCAAATAGTCATTCCAGCTCCCATACAGTTTCAAGATACAATTGAGGAGCTTGTTCATTTTGAACTTGAACCTCAACATGTACCTATAGAGCAAACTCAACAAACTCAAGAACATATAGTTCAAGAGCCAATGCTTCTGCGTAGATCCAATAGAGAATGGAGAAATACCATTCCAGATGATTATTTGGTATTTCTTCTAGAAAATGAGGATGTGGGTGACTTGAATGAGCATGATCAGATCAATCTCAAACAAGTCATGAAGGATCCCAACTCAAATAAATGGATCAAAGCGATGCGTGAAGAGTATAAGTCGATGCAAAATAATAAGGTTTGTGAACTTGTCCCATTGCCAGAAGGTGCAAAACTCGTTGGTTGCAAATGGATTTTTAAAACCAAACGGGATGCAAATGGTAATTTGGAGAGGTATAAAGCACTTCTTGTGGCTAAAGGTTATACTCAAAGCGAAGGGATTGACTATAAAGAGACCTTTTTTCCGGTTTCTTCGAAGGACTCTTTTAGAACAATCATGGCTCTAATGGCACATTTTGACTTGGAGCTCCATCAGATGGATGTAAAGACAGCGTTTCTCAATGGTGACATTGATAAAACGATCTATATGGTACAACCAGAAAGCATTGAGGTCGATGACCCAAAGAAAATGGTTTGTAAATTAAGAAAATCCATCTATGGACTTAAACAAGCGTCTCGACAGTGGTATCCCAAATTTCATCAAGTAATTATCTCGTATGGTTTTGAGATGAATGTTGTTGATGATTGTGTTTATCACAAGTTTAGTGGGAGTAAATTTATTTTTCTGGTTTTGTATGTGGATGACATTCTTCTTGCCACAAACGATATGTGCATGTTGCATGAAACTAAGAAATTTCTTTTGAGTATCTTCGAGATGAAAGATCTTGGTGAAGCGTCTTTTGAATAAGGAATCCAGATACACCGGGAGTGATCTCGAGGTATTCTAGGGTTATCACAAAAGAGCTATATCGATAAAGTGTTTGAAAGATTTGGCATGCAGAACAGCAAACCAGGAAATACCCCGGTGGCTAAAGGAGACAAATTTAGCCTAAGTCAATGCCCAAAGGGAAATTTGGAAATCCAGGAAATGCAAAAGGTCCCTTACGCCTCGACAGTTGGGAGCCTAATATATGCTCAAGTATGTACGCGTCCGGATAGTGCGTATATAGTTGGTGTGTTAGGCAGATACCTTAGTAATCCTGGATTGGATCACTGGAAAGCAGCCAAAAGAGTGATGAGATACCTTAAGAGAACTAAGGATTATATGCTCACATATAGGAGGTCATACCATTTGGAGATCGTTGGATATTCTGACTCAGATTTTGTTGGGTGCCAAAACAGTAGGAAATCTACGTCTGGGTACTTGTTTATGCTGGCTGGTGGTGCCATTTCCTGGCGTAGTGCTAAAAAAACACTTGTTACCACTTCCACTATGGAAGCTGAGTTTGTGGCGTGTTTTAAGGCATCACACCAGGGAATCTGGTTAAGGAACTTTGTCACAAGGCTGCGAATCATTCCGGAGGTTGAAAGACCTATCAAGATCTTTCGTGACAATAAATCAGCCGTTCTGTACTCCAACAACAATAGAAGCTCGTCTAAGTCAAAGCATATTGACATTAAGTTCCTAGCTGTGAAGGAGAGGGTACAAAGTGGTCAAATTTCCATCGAACACTTAGGGACAAAATCTATGTTAGCAGATCCCCTAACTAAAGGTGTAACATCTATGGTATTTCACGAGCATACTGCTCATATGGGTGTGTTACATATTCAGGAAGCTTCACTCTAGTGGGAGCATTTGCTACATTTTTGTCATATTGTTTGATGATATGTAAAGTACTTATTCTGATCAGAAATAAAGTTTTGGTTCATGACACTTTATACAGTATGTTTTGGTACTTAACGATCTCATTAAGTTTGGACTAGTTCAAAATTGACATGTGCTGATCACATTCATGTAATTTTCATGCCACATGTTCCACAGTTTGATCTATGTCATTTAATCATGGTGATATATGTGATAGTTTAGATGTGTCTATACGGCGAAAATTGCTTTAGTCCTATATTGTTGTGATTAATGGACCAAATTGTTCAAGTTCTGTAATAATAACCATATTTTGAGCTCATAAGTTATAATGTATGGGATCCAGCCAACAATAAAAGCCAAACACACTTTCGGTGGAAGAAGAAGTGGATGGTGGCTTAGCACACCACAATGTGAAAAAAATAATAAAATAATAGAAAAAGGAATAAAGAAAGAAAGAGGAAGGGGCAGCCGCAGTTTTTTTACTTTTGTTCACATGTACTTACACCTCTATAAATAGAGGCATTCGGCAGTGGAGAAAGACACACCAAGCAAGAGAGAAAAATATCAGGAACAAAATATTCAGTTCATGGAGTGTTAGATTTTTCAGTGAGTTGTAAAAATAGAGTGTTTGAGTAAATCCTGTGAGTGTGGGAAAAATACACCGGGTCGGGTATCATCTCTATTACTCCTTGTTTGTAATATTTAATAGGAGTGGGGTATCACTGGGTCACTATATTTTACATTTCTAGTGTAAGGGAGTGTGAAAAGATATTGTAATTATCTTGAAAATATAGTGGAATTGTTCGGAGTTTGTCCGTGGTTTTTTTCTCTACATTGGAGGTTTTCCACGTTAAATCTTGGTGTCTTATTTCTTGCATATAATATTTATTTGGGATATTCTTAGTATGCTCTGTGGTCGCAGTTTAATCTGATCTTCCACATCAGAAAAGAATTATTCCTGTTTGATTGCAAGAGATTTCCTTTGTCATTCTTGAGTTACTGGGATTATTATTTTTATTCACCATTTCACAGTGGTGTTTTTAATTTACACCTTCCGCATTTGCGCATCTGAGCCCAACATAATGTATTATCAGAATGGATATTTAATCTAGTGGGAGATTGTTAGATTTATTTTGGGATTAAATATGTATAATTAATACATTGGGTCATTGTATTGTTTAGACAAATTAAGTGATCAAATTATTGTACATTGGCTAAGGAACTTAATTTAAATTGTGGAATGGTTAAATGTGGACACCTGGTAATATTATTATTTGGTGACGTAAAAAAAATAATATTAAACTTAGGGACTTAATTAGCAAATAATTTGGGTCAAAATTAATAATGGGTGGAGTCCCCAAAACCGTGATAAATAAAATGGGTCTTTTGCAATTCTTCATAAAGTGATGAGAAGAATAAAAACCGTAAGGTTTTTCCCACTCTCTCCATCAGTTTTATTCTTCATTACATCAGAAGAGGAGAGGTTACGGTTTACGGCTTTTGTAAGAACTCAAAGTTCCAAACCCAAAATCCCAATTCAATTCCAGTGAGATCAATCAACATGAATCCATCAAGTATGCTTCCGCTCTTCGGTATGATTCTCAATTGTTTAATATAAATGCTCCTGAGATTAAAGCGATTCATTCGTATAAGCTTAAATCCAATTCTATCAACCATCAATATTTGGTGCGAATAGCACATGAGATGCTGCAACTTTTCTTATTTTAGCAATAGCTTGCTAGCTAGGCTGGGGCGTACGACCCCGTCAATTCAGGGTAAAGGTACATTATCTTGATAGAATATGTATTTGTTGGTTTGCAATTGCATGTAATTATAATTGTAGTATCATACCATGTGCTCAACTTACAAGATACCTTGGATTAGATTAGATGGATCATCATTTGTTTTCTTATCCGGTAGATTTTTTTTCCATGTTTTAACTTTTAACTAGTGTGTATCCCGTGCGCTGCACGGAGGGGTTTTTACTTAAAACCTTTTCTAAGACTTTATATTAAACATAGTTATTTATGTTTAACATCTTATTATTATAAAAAAAGAAATACCAAATATGAAAAATTATGTATTATTTATTTGAATATAATGAGTGTCCCCAACCAAACTAATAACATCCAACATATGATATATGATAAAATTAATTATATGATCGTCATACTTTTTGAAAAAATATACATATATTTCTAATAAACATGTAAGATCCGCATTTAAATTTGTATTTGGATATGGGATGAAAAACGAAAATGTACAAATAAAAAAGTACCAAGAACCTACATAAAATGAGATTCTTTATAAACTTTAAAATATTTTGTAGTTAAGCAAATATTAACAAACAAAATCATCAATTAAGTTGAACTTATCGAATATAAAATATAATTTATGATATCATTGACCATATTTACCCGTTGTATTTAAAGTTATCATTGACCATATTTTTATGAATTAAGGTTTACAAAATATCTTTTTCAAAATAACAATTTTTTTTAATTTGAATTTGACTTTTCATCCAACCGCCATTTTCCACAAAAATAAAAATAGTATTTTGGAAAATTTTAGACGTGAAAATCAAATAAAATTAATTTAATAGTAATCGATTAAATTAATATTATTCAAAATTGTTTAATTCGGTCAACCCGATCTTAGTGCACGTTTAATTGAAACAATCGCTTACAAAAAAAAAGGTAATCGCTTACAAAAAAAGGAAGTGAAATCTATCTATATAATATAAATCGGATTTGAAAAAAAAAAGGAAATGAAATTTCATAATTAATTAATTTAAATTGATGTTATCCGATTTATATCAACTCCCTTCCAAAAAAAAGGAAATATCCGATTCCTACCAAATCGATTAAAAAAAAAAGATTATGATATACGTCCAAATAAATTACAATTGAAATGTAGGCGGGATTATGAAAAAAAAAATAAAAAAACTTTACCGAATAAAGTAATAAAACGAAAAAAAAAGCGGGAATATGAAGCGGGAAAATAAGATAATTTTTTTGAGTTTTTTGAACAATTTTTCTTAGTCGTAATAATAGTAATAGATTTCCAAAATGTTACCACACATTTTTTTCTATTTTTCTTGTTTTTATTAAATTTTATTTACATAAGATATACATTGGTTAATTTTAAATTGAATCTAAAAGTCAACTCCTCACACTTTTCGAAAAATGTTACCACACAATTTTTTTTTTCTTATTATGTTTTATTTACATAAGATATACATTAGTGGTTAATTTCAAATTAAATCTAAAATTCAACTCCTCACATTCTTGAATTTGAATTTTTAAATAAGGAAATGTGTTTCCATATTTTTTGGTAGTTAGAATATGTTGGATTCATTTATCTATAACTAATCATACACGTATTCAAAATTTGAACCCAAACAAAATTCTTTGAATTTTTTGCTAACAAAATCACCTTCCCATAATTTATTTATTTCGAAAAATGTTACCACACAATCTTTTTAATTTTGTTTTTCTATTAAATTTATTTACATAAAATATACATTTGTTAATATTAAATTGAATTTAAAATTCAACTCATCACAAATTTGTATCAAATTTTGAATCCCGAATTAAAATCGAATTGTAATGTGAACTGAAAAGATTTGAAATCTAATCATGTTGGAGATAAGGGAAATCCATGGCAAAAAAAAGGGATGAAAAAAATTCAAATTAAATTTAAGGGGGAAAAACAGTTTTTTAAGCGGGAATTTGAAATATTTTTTCAAACATTTTTTCTTCTCCGTATTATATAGTAATAGATGTTTGAACATTTTGAAAAGCATATTAATTTTCATCCCTTTTAAAAGTATGTACGTAGTATGATCAAATATATATTTACATTTCTATAATCGATGTGGGAAAAAAAAAAGGCTAAATGCCGAGTGACCAAGTCATAAAATTTATGATTTGTGTTGCACGGAGTGGGACTGAATCAAGACTTTCACCCGTTTGCGGATGCACTGATTCTTGATGAGATTTGTGTTGCACGGAGTTACAAGACTTATAAATACAAATATGCAGATTTGTACAGTATATAATTAGATTCATCATCATCCATTAATTTTGGAAATTTTAGACAGTCTCATTTGGTGGTTGCAATATAGTTGCAAAGTCACAGTCCCTGCTCTAAAGCAACTATATTACGTATGATTTTTTTTTCTTCCTTTATTAACCTCTCAGTTTAAGGTTGACCATATTCATTATGACGTTGAGTTATTTAAAATTAGATGAAAATTTTCCCCAGAACCAATAAATCATTATATGAATTTAGACGATGAAATTTTAAGTTGCCTCTCTGTCTTATTGGAATATGTCACCGTATTTGGTTCTCCTTACAGAAAAAATCCGCTTAAACAGAAAAATAATTGATGTTAATAACAGATGTAATCCTTTGTTCCAATATAATTATGTATTTGGTCTAAATTGAAGAAAATAAATCCATTTATATAGAAAAAATAATTGTTATACCACAAATTCTCGAGCCGCTCGACCGTTCCTCCCGAACCGGGTTGAGCCTCCTTGATCGTCGGTACCTGCAAAACACGCCGGGGGTGGTCCCGGCGTGGACACCCCGACGCTCAAGTCAGTGGTGGTGTTTTGGAGAGAAAACGATAGAGTAACGAGATAATGTGTGTATGTGTGTTGTGTAAAATGAATGAACCTATTCCCTTTTATTAGTGAGGTCATGCGCAAGTCGAAGAGTTCTTGTTGGTCTAGAAGTCTTCCTCGTGTCTATCTCTAAACTAGGTCAAAGATATCCAGAATTTCATAGTCCTTATCACTCCAAACTTCCTTGTGACTTGGCCACGAAGCCACCTCCAGGCTCTGGTCCCCTCGGCAGAACCCTCTGGTCGAGGTGTCTAGGTGCCGAGGTGCCTAGCTGCCGAGGTGCCGAGGCGCCTACCTGCCGAGGTGCCTAGCTGCCGAGGTGTCGAGGTGCCTAGCTGCCAAGGTGCAGAGCCGCCTAGCTTACCAACCTTTGGTACTCCGCCTAGCTAGTCCCCGCCTAACTAGTCCTCGCCTAGCTCCCATTGGTACTCCGCCTAGCTAGTCCCCGCCTAGCTAGTCCTCGCCTAGCTCCCATTGGTACTTCGCCTAGCTAGTCATAGCCTAGCTAGTCCTCGCCTAGCTGTTTGAACTCCGCCTAGATGACCAACCTTTGGTATGCCACCGAAGTGCTCATGCCAATCTAGCCCCTTGCCTAGCTCCTATTCAGTGTAAATGTGATCAAACTCGGATCACAACCGGTCCTCCATGAACCTCTACTTATGGCCATATCACCTAGCCCCCCCATTTCTTAGACAAACCATCACAGCTTGGCTTAAGAAATAGAAAAATTACTCATGTCGCAGCAAGTGGTCACACCCAGATTGAAAAGCTCATCGGTCGCCTATCATAATCATGCTGATCTCATTCGGACTTTTCGCCGCCACATGAACTCGCCTACGAAGTGCCGCGGCATAACCCTTCGCGTTCAATGCCAAGCTGATCTGCATGAGGTGTCGCACCCGACGCTCCTCGTTGCTGAGAGGCCGAGCTGACGAGCTGTAGGATGACGAGGTGCGCGTTGCACCGGCGTTCTGCGACACACGACCGACGGAGTCGAGAAACGACGAGGTGGCGTATGCTGAGCTCAGAAGCGACTAGGTGCGCATCGCGCCGGGCTGCAGATGACGAGCTGAGAAGCGAAGAGGTCGCATATGCCGAGCTAGGAAGCGACAAGGTGCGCGTCGCGCCAAGCTGCCGATGCCGAGCTGGGAAGCGACGAGGTGCGCGTCGCGATGCCGAGCTGGGAAGCGACGAGGTGCGCGTAACGTCGAGCTGCCGATGCCGAGCTGGGAAGCGACGAGGCGAGTGTCACGTCGGGCTGCCGATGACGAGCTGGGAAGCGACGAGGTGCGCGTCGTGATGCCGAGCTGAGAAGCGACGAGGTGCGCGTCACGCCGAGCTGCCGATGACGAGCTGGAAAGCGACGAGGTGAGTGTCACGCCGGGCTACCGATGACAAGCTGGGAAGCAACGAGGTGCGCGTCGCGATGCCGAGCTGGGAAGCGACGATGGTCTTTTGCACCAAATCTTGCAAATCTTGCAAATACTTAGCATCGTGACAATGGTCTTTTGCACCAACACAATTATTGCTAAGTGCTTCAAGACCTGTATACACTTCACACGGCGGCCCTGCCAAGTCTTAGCTGGAACTTAACCGGCTACGGTGGTCGTCGTCGAGCCCCGTGAGATACAATTAAGACTTACAGACAAGATTGACATGCTTGCGCCCTACAAAGGTCGTCGCATAGCTCCGCAAGCTTAGATGAGACTGACAGGCTTGTGCCCTACAGAGGTCATCGCCTAGCTCCGTGAGCTTAGGTGAGACTAACAGGCAAGGTTGCCCTACAGAGGTCGTTGCCTAGCTCCGCGAGCTAAGGTGAGACTAACAAGCAAGGTCGCCCTACAGAGGTCGTCGCCTAGTGGCTTAGGTGAGACTGACAGGCTTGCGCCCTACAGAGGTCGTCGCCTAGCTCCGCGAGCTTAGGTGAGACTGACAGGCTTGCGCCCTATAGAGGTCGTCGCCTAGCTCCGCGAGCTAAAGCGAGACTAACAGGCAAGGTTGCCCTACAGAGGTCATCGCCTAGCTCTGCGAGCTTAAGCGAGACTAACAGGCTTGCGCCCTACAGAGGTCGTCGCCTAGCTCCGCGAGCTTAGGTGAGACTAACAGGCTTTCGCCCTCATACATTCCATACAAGAAAAGAATCAAGCTGATAAAACTTCAAATGCAATCTTATTACTCATCTTGCCGAAAGATCATAAAAACAAACGAAAGTAATTAAAATGACATATCTCCAGCTATGCATAATATTTCTTC